GAGAATTCATTGAACCTAATACTAAAATCCCAGATCTAGTCTATGAAGATTCAAATATTACTGTTAAATCAAATTTTCAGAAAATTCAGTAAAATGTATGAATTAAAACATTCAGAAATGAGAAAAATGCTAAGACTTATATAAAATTATATTATGGTCTTTTATGAAAAATATATTTGTTTATTTTGGATATAAGAAATTTAAAAACTTGTAAAAAAACGTTTTTCTTTGTATAGCACTGTAGCACTGTCCTCCCGTGGTTCATCGATTTGCTCAAGCGGGCCCAGTAATGTCTCCATTGTGAGACTTGTTACTGTGTTTGGCATATCAAATACGTCACAGGGTGCTTGCCAGGCTTTGCCATGGGGCTAGATACTCTTGGTAGCTTACCAGGCTCTCCGAGAGGGGAGGAGGAATCAAACCTGGCTCATCCAAGCTGGCAACACGCAAGGCAAATGCCCTACTGCTGTGAACAGATATTGAAAATATTTACAAGGTACATCGCTAAGTGATAGGTACTTTAAAAGAATTAAACATATTTTTAAATCAGTTCACAATCTAACAATTTTATATTATATCGACATGAGTTCTTATGCCAAGTAAAATTAAAGCAAAAGAATGTACTAGGCCTGTTATTTAAATTTTGAAAAGTGACTTAATTCTCTTTTTTCTTTTTATTTAAAACATGATGATTTACATGGTTGTTCATTATACAGTTGTTTCAGACACTTAGTATCCCAATACCCCCAGTATGACCTTCCCGCCACCAATATCCCAATTTCGGTTTCCATCTCCAACATGCCACCTTATTCCGATAATAAATTTATATTACCCATTCTGATAAAACTTTAAGAAATAACAACTAAAATGATCAGAAAACAAATCAGTAGGAGCCAATTTGTGATTGCTATAAGACTTTAACATAGTTAAGTACGGAACATAAAATTCCTTAATACAATATTATAAAATGATTATTTTCATTTATAAAGTTAATTTTCAACTGCAATCTAAAATATATTGCATTAAATTTTATTTTATATTTGTATCTCATTACGGTAATAATCATGCCTTACCTGTCATCAATTAAACTTTAAAGAAATATTTTGTGCAATATATTTTAAAGTTTACATGAAATAGGTAAGATCTACTTTTAAATTTTCTCCCCTATACTTTATATAAACACTGTGGTTTTCAAATTTTCTCATGATGATGTGTTATAAGCATTATATATTCAAACACCAATTCCACCACCATTATCACCTTTCCTCCACCATTGTCTCCAATTTTTCCAACCACTCAAAAAGACTGTCCCCATAGCGGACCCACAATAACTTATTTTATATTGCTTGTTATCAATAATTTCTAACATTATGATAAAAATATTTTCTTAGAAGAAAATTAGTATAAGTTATTGTTCATGAAGACATTAAATCTTTGTGTGAGGGGTAACTAAAATGTTGTTACAGGTTAAACCTTCTGAGTTTATGATTTGTTAATCCAGATTGGTTGCCTTCTGTGTCAAAATTCATCCAATCTGGTGTGCTATTATTGAATTATCAGTGTTGTAGAGTTTGGGGATATCTTGTAGCTGCCTTTTTAGTCGCAACCTTCAGGAACTTCAGAATTTTAACCATGGTGATACAATTGGAATTAACATTTTAACTAGGAAGCACTTTGGGGGTTTTGACGTGACTGCCAGGACTTCCAAAATTCCAGGGAGGTGAGGTGAGGTAGCCCACTCTGAGAAAGCCTGGAAATTTCAGTCACAATTTCAGACTGCCTGAAATTTTAGCAGGGTAATTTCTGGATGGGGTTTGGATCTGAGAGGATGAAGTCCTGCTGGGAGCATGCTGGTGATTTTGCAATAAATAAATGTGGGAGCAAGTCACTCCTGAGGCTTTATTTTGGCAGGCCCTGGGCTAGCTTGTCCCATCATAGTACCCTAGGTGTCTCAGCCATACATAGGTGTCTGAAGGATTTTAAGCCAATTTTATTGTTTTATTAATTTCTATTTTCTGCTCTTCCAAATTACAAACTCACTGTGAAAATGTTTCATCAAACATATTTGATAACTAATGGTTCCTTATATAAATGTTAATTTGTGAAAGATTATTCAAGAGTACTATTTGTAAGATCAAAATTACTCACTAAAACAACTGTACATAATATCCAGTGATATGAGATTTAATTTTTGTGTAGTTACCTTCTCATTCCATAATAATCTTTTTAAAATCCTCAAATATATTCTCTTCAGTTCTGCTTAATAACAGATAAACATCTGGCTAGCTCCCAAATATTTATATAATTAAATTCGTTGACTAATTGAAAAAAAATATAAGCGATTATCCAGTGTTTTACAAGTGTATAACATACAATTATATCTTTCATATTAAAAAAAATTGTAGTTCAGGTAGGTGCAATAAAGTTACTTTATGGTATTTATAAAAAATTTACCATAGCTTCTCAGCACCGTTGTGTTTGTTAATCCTACAGCACTGTCCTCTCTGTCCTAGAATTATTTTTCTCCCTTCTCTTTTTGGTTATTTGATTTTTGTTGTTGTTAATCACTATTTTCTTTTTTTCTCTATATAATTTTTATGGATTTTGGAGCAACACCTAATAGTTCTCAGGGCTTCCTAAACCCTAATCAATTTTAAAATGCCTTCTATCTCCCTCTTTGTCTTCATCTGTTTGTTTTTTTGCAAGGATATTTTTCCTTCTAAGGCATTTCAGTTTAATCATGCCTTAAATGTGGTAGCACTGTAGCACTGTAGCACTGTCCTCCCATTGTTCATTGATTTGCTCAAGCGGGCCCAGTAATGTCTCCATTGTGAGACTTGTTACTGTGTTTGGCATATTGAACACATCATGGGGAGCTTGCCAGGCTTTGCCGTGCAGGAGAGATACTCTTGGTAGCTTGCTAGGTTCTCCAAGAGAGGCGGACATATCAAACCCTGGTCGGCCTGGTTGGCCACCTGCAAGGCAAATGCCCTACCTGCTGTGCAATTTCTCCAGCCCCTTAAATGTACTCCAATTTAATTGTAATACTTCAGCTTAAATGGTATAATTTTTCTGAATCTTTCACCTCTCTTCAGAGATTTCTTTCTGAAGGAAATTCTTTGACATTTAATAAGTGTACGTCACTCCCAAGTTCTGTGTCTTTCTTATCCTAATCATATTTACACTTATATAATATTTAAAATATTCATAGAAGTAGGGATGTGTTTATCTTGTTTACTTGCATATTCTATTGCCAAGAAAAGTGTCTATTCTTACATGTTGAAAGAGTTTTTACTGAATACCAAATGGAAAGATTTATTTTACCACGTAGATTTCATTGTTTCCTCTTCACAGAATTCCCATACAGTGTTGAAAAAGTGTTGTGTAAAGTTTATAAGTTAAAAAAAATTATCATTGGGGATATGGTGCTGCCAAAAGGTCAATCTGTACCTGTGGTGGTGGAGGATGGGCACTGGTGGAGGGATGGGTACTTGATCATTGTATAACTGAAACCCAAGCACAAAAATTTGTAAGTCTATAACTGTACCTCATTGTGTTTCACTAATAAAAAAAAATGTTGGACAGAACTTGCCTAGATGTAACTGACTGCTACAACTATTTTATTATTAAAAAAAAGGTACTTTAAATTTCTGAATCATTTAACCACAAAAATGTCCTTAACATTATCAAAGAGCTCCTTTGTCTCAAGTAACTTTACTTTTTCTCTGAAGTTATAAGACTATTAAAGCTTTATTATCACTATAATTGGGTCAACTGAGAAAATATAGTTTCATTTTTGTCAATTCTTGATTATTTATAATAATGTCAGAATGACTTACCATGGTTTACTAAAATCCCAAATCACTCAGAATCTATGAAATTTAGCACCAATTCAAATATCTGTGAAATTTTCCTATTAAAATATGTTTGCCTTCAGTATTTATCAAAATTCATTATTGCATGAATACATTTTCTTATATATCATAAAATTTGAAAAGAAATAGGTATGCATGTTTGATTACCTTTATGTAAATTAAATCTTAAAAGAATATGCTCACATCAGTTCAGTTCTTCTATTTTCTTGTACTAGGCTGCTGGATATTACAGTTTGCCTATATTAGCCTTTGAGAAGAAACAAGTCAGAATAAAGGATATATGGTAGTAGTTTTTACTTCTCAGGCCATCAACTTAGAAATGTTTGTAAAATATAAAAGACCATTTTTTTAACGTGATTCTATAAAGCTTTGTCACAGTCTTCAAGTTATGCCTTCGTTCATGCACTATAATAGCTCAAAAACACCTACTGGGGTCGAACACTGATAAGTATGCCAAAAGCAAACTAAAGAGACATGTTCTGCCTTTTACAGTTTAAAAAATACTTATAGTAAAAGTATGACTGCTATTAGATCATAGTAGATGCATGGTTAGTGAAAGAAAACTTCTAAAATAGAATAAAATATAAAATAAATATCTAACATTTGACTCCTACTTAATTCAATATAATGTGAATTATAAGTCAACTCACTCATCAATCTCCACAATTGAATAGCATTCATTAGCTTTTAGTACCTAGTTGTTTGTCAATTTAGTAGCAAATTTTGAGTACCTATTGTGTACCATACCCTAGAAATATCACTGTAGATATTTTGTGTTTCTTCAAGATATGTTGTTTTAGTAATAGAATACATTAAAATTGTATAAAAAACAGTGCTGTTTTAAATACATACAAATATTTTCTTTTATAGACATAGCTTCGTTTAAGCTCCTGCAGCATAAAAATCATTAAAATATATTTTTCCTAAACATGCTTAATTTAGATACCTTAGTTATCTGAATAAATAACCTCTTTGTGATTCAGAAGCTTTTGAAAGAAAAATTTAAAGTAATAAAAAATGCATTATATGTCATTTGTATATCCTAGTCAAAGTAATGAAATTTTTCACAGAACAAACAGTGCATCTGTTCCAGGGAAAAGCTTAGTTTCTTATTTCTTTTGACAGTGTGCAGACCTGGGTTCTTCAAAGCCTCACCTCACAGCCAGAGCTGCAGCAAATGTCCACCTCACAGTTATACCCATGAGGAAGCTTCAACCTCTTGTGTCTGTGAAAAGGATTATTTCAGAAGGGAGTCTGATCCACCCACAATGGCATGCACAAGTAAGGAAACCCATAAATATTTGGTGATGCTCACTTTTACCAGTTTGAAGAGCATGATGTAGCCTGTTACAAACTATTACCATTTCCCATAAAACAGGCATGACATCTACTCTTACAATTACAGTTTTATTTTTTCAACAAATTTCCATCTCCTTGAGTAAGCATTGGAAAGTGAGTCTCTTTTTATCACTCACTCTTATAAGCAGCAATTTCCCCTAATTTCACATTCAGTATTTGAGACAGTTGTAGATTTTTATTTTTTTATTACAAGATTTACTGTTCATGATAGCCTGACATGACTTTGATACACCTACATCTTTGATTAGTAGATAAGTCTTATTTCCCTGTGTTTTTCTTCTTTCAAGCCAGTCTTGTGGTCTCATAAAAATGACTTTCACCTTCTTCCACTAAGCTGCACAGGCCACTGACAAGGCCATTTATAAAAATAATATAAGAAACATTAGAAAGCATTTGAAACACTGGGGGTTGGCGAATTAGAACTAAGTGTAAAATATAAAACCATACTGAGTTAGAAGTTTCAACATTTGCCTTGATTAATTTATAATAAACAGTCACACAATTAGAACAAATTGTTATTAATTTGGGTTTTCAGCAACACCTAGCAGTATTCAGGGATCACTCCTGGCAGTGCTCAGGAAACCATAGTCTCAGGGAGGGATTGAAACGGGCTTGGCTGTATCCAAGGCAAGCACCTTTCCAGCTGTACAGCTCTCCAACCCAAAATAAATTAAAAGTAAAATTGAATTCAACGTGTCTAGTGGAGGCATTTACTATATCCATGTTTTCATGCTTTTATTTATATACCATGCCACTTGTTTCTCAGAAGAAACAGATTTGTGAACTTGTTTGCTTACTGACAACACATTAACAGTATTTCCACATACTCTCTAAGAAAAATCCAAGACAATTGAATACCCTTTCTCCACAACTTTCTAATTTCATCATCTGTGATTTCTTATCATTTTAGATCCCAGTAAGCTACAGCTTCTCTCAAAGATGATGACAAATATTTTTGAGACTTAGTATTCATTACTATTACATACACAGAGACCTGGAATCTTTAATCAAGTAATCACAACCTGAAATTTTATCTGATTTCGGTATCTGACTTTCATATTATCCATTAAGCATATTTTCATAATTCATAAATCCATTACTATCAAGTAGCCTTACATTGTTAATGATAATTTCTTTATCACAAGACTGATAGTTTTATGGATTAGTGATGATTAATTACAATGTATCTTCAAATGAGTCAATGGTAGTAAAAATATACAGTGTGAGAACAAATCTCTTGAATAGAGGAACTATAAATGAAGATTGAATGTGATGTGTTTTGGTTGCAGTGCAGATCATTTAGGTAATTAAGGGGCCCCAAATGTTCAGATTATGGGAGGAGTTGATTAATGTGGTAAAGGTGGGAGAGATATTCTTGGTTTATCTTTAATTTTATTAATTTGTAACTGTTATTTTCTTCAAGTGATTCAGTCATGATTTTTCTCTCAGCAAGAAATGCCAACAAACCTGTTAATTTGTTAAAGTTGGGCCCGGGGGAGAGTCTATGCTTTGATGTCAAGACCTCTTAGCCTCCCATTAGAGGCCACAGGCAACCTTTACAGTTAGTTTTGTCTCCATGTGGGAATTCTAAATTTGTGTTTGATAAAAATCCTAATTTGCATACATTTCTGAGAAAAGAAAGACAATTAAGATATATTTAGAACTACCTGATCTATAATCTGTGTGTGTGTGTGTGTGTGTGTGTCTGTGTGTGTTGTGTTTTCATTCGTTTCTATAGCACCCAGAGTAACTGCATATGAGTTTCTGAATAGATGGTTTCATTAGCGTTTAGAGGAAAGGCCTGGCCTAGGTGCAACCTTTGACTCTCTGGAGTTAAATTCATGGTTTACAACACTTTCTGCAGTATGTTTTTTTAGTAGAAAAAAAATATGGGCATGAAAATAATTTTATGAACTTGTTATAAAAGAAAAGTTTCAGAAATCAAGCACAAATAATAAAGATTCTGGTGAAGCTGCTAAAATCAAAGTTATTTCCTTATCACAGTGCTTGGGTGTATCATATTGTGGAGTAGTGAGATTTTATTATTTTTTAAGTGCATGTCAGTGTGAAGTTCCCCTTTTTATTTCAAGTTTAGGTATTTACTTGAGTTTTAATTTCATTTGTGTTTTAGAGGCATATACATCTCACCCAAATGTGAAGGGGCTATTGGCATAATAGAAGAAAAAGGAGAGCCATATTTTGATGCATTATTACAAATTTAAAGAAAAGAATTAGAATTGTTTATTTGGTAGGAAAACACAGAAATAACACTCTAAGTGTGATGCTTTTCTAAATAGACATGTTTTACCATTTTTTTTAAAAAAAAATTTCAGTTTCCACTATAAATGCAAGTTATAATGAAAAACTAATGGTCATATTTAGCTTAAAAAAAACTACTTTTATTGAAATGTATAAGGTTGTGTAGAAAATTTCACAGGATTTAATCATAAAAGTAGAAAAAGTCAAAAAGGTCTATCAAAAGTTTTGTCAAAAATATTAAGTCAGGTTATATTTTGTTTAATTGCAATTAGTAAACAGTTTATGTTTTTCCAATCACTTTAAGTGTATAAATTAAATATTATGGTTTCATTATCCTTCGCTAGAAATTAACAATAATTACAATATATAAAACATAAATTGATTTTAAGATAACTTATATAATAAGTTAATAAATTAATAACTTAGCTAATTTAATTTATACTTAAGAACCATTCAACAAGTTCCCTAGTCTATTTTATTTTTCAAAAATTCTCCAAAAGCTGAAACAAATGTAAATATATTATATTTTCTTTTTAAGAATATCTGGTTAAAAATTCTAACTGTTGATAGAAGTTTTAAATTTACATATTATAAATTATAAATTACAATACTACAGTGATGTTTTTGTTACAGTTGTTATGAATGAGTATAGTTCTTGCATCTGTTATTAGTTTTATAAATAAAAGTAGTAAACAGATGGAAATATTCACTTGATTTTATCTATATAGTTTTTTCCTTATTCTTCAAGATATGTGCATTTTTATTGTTCTAAATATAGTTATTTGAGCTAAATTTAAACAAGTCATATTTCACTTGAGGAAAATCACAACTTGAAGAATCACAACATTACCACAATGTTAAATTAAAATGAATTCTTTATAGATTGTAATTTAGACTACATTTTGTATTTCTAGTGCTTCCTTAACTTTTAAAAGAGAATTTCACATTCTCTCACTGAATCATTGTAATTGATATACAATCACTTTTAAGTTAAACTAAGGCTAATTTTTTACTTGTTACAGAAATGGTACTCAGGATTCACACTGAAAATGCTATTTTTACCTACTCTCATTGCTTAGTTGATAATGCTTATCTTCTAGATTTCAAAGAAAGGATTAGTGAGGAGGTAATCAATATATTTGCCAAAGCCTCTTTCCTTTAATGTGCTCAAAGAAATTTCTTTTTAAAAACTATACTTATCTCTAAAAATATTTTATAAGCATAGATTGTTCCATAAGTTTACACCCAGAAAAATATGTGCTATCATGTTTTTAACAATGCTAGCATAAATAATCTGAGACTGGAGAGATAGTACAGTGGACAGTATTCTTGCCTTGCTCCCAGCTGACCCAAGTTTGTTCGCTAACACTGAGCATAGTTCACCAAGCTCTGCCAGGAGTGATCCCTTAGTGCAAAGCCACAAATAAGCCCTGATCACCTCGAAATGTGGCCCCAAACAATGTTTTCAAATATCACTATAAATTGATGGCTCTTGCATCCTCCCTAAATTATATATATATATATATATATTATATATATATACATATAACACTTTATATAACTTTTTTTTAATCATAGGCCCATTTTCCCCCTTCGGGCCAGAGATGTGTATGGTAAAATATGCCTAATTTTATCATCTGAAAATATGTTTTTTTACTTTACTTTGCAAACCAGGACCCCCATCCGCTCCTCGGAATGCCATCTCAAATGTTAATGAAACTAGTGTCTTTCTGGAATGGATTCCTCCTGCTGACACTGGTGGAAGGAAAGATGTGTCATATTATATTGCATGCAAGAAGTGCAACTCCCATGCAGGGGTGTGTGAGGAGTGTGGCAATCATGTCAGGTACCTCCCCCAGCAAATCGGCTTGAAAAACACCTCTGTCATGATGGTGGATCTGCTCGCTCACACAAACTATACCTTTGAGATTGAGGCAGTGAATGGAGTGTCCGACTTGAGTCCAGGAGACCGGCAGTATGTGTCTGTAAATGTAACCACAAATCAAGCAGGTAAGTGTGATGCCCAATCAATCCTCTATTATCACGCTGAGGGATGAGTCTACTAGATTGGAAAGGATTCCCATAAACTAGGGCTAGGCCTTGAAGTCAAATATATCTAAACTATTTTTTAATTGTTACATAACAAATATATGAAATTTTTTGTTGATTCATTCTTGACAGAAAAGAGAGACATTGGTCACTTAAAATATATTTGACTCAATTTTATTGATAGCAAACTATTTCTCTCATAAGTTTGTATCATGCAGTGACTGTAGTTCAAATTTATATTTTTTATTTCATTCTATTCTTTTCTAATTTTGTTGCCATAACATATAATAATAGTCAGATTTTGTTTGTGCAATTACCACCACTGTTGTATTTTCTTTGAAGTTTTAGTCTTGTCATTTACGTAACTGAATATTTTTGTTTAGTTCATTTATGAAAATCTATATAATTTATGACTGCTGTATAACCATCTGAAAAGTCATTTGTGTTCTATATAAATATTTTTGTGATTACTATGTAATAATTATTAAGAAATAGAAAATATAACTATGTATAGCTGTGCATAAACTTATCACCTCATATTCTTCCCACAAATACTCTCTTTCATATAAAAGTCAATGACACATAAAGACTGAATTAATGTTCAGTCTATTAGTACTAATAATTAAAGTCTGTGAGTAATAGCTCACTTTGGTTAGAAGGGAAAGGAAAATGAAGTCATTAAAAGTCAAAAAGTTCTTACTTTACATTCCATACACCCTAGTGACAATTCTCAGTCCAAGGGCAAAATATTATCACCTCCTTTTATATCAGTTATACAAAAAGGAACAGCTTCCTCAGACAGATGCAGAATAGCTGAATCTCAGCAAGAGAGATTCAATTAAGATGTAGAAACAATATTTAAGTAATTTCAATTCTCCTACATATCCATTTATGATTCTATTTCATTTCATAGGCCAGTTTTCATCCATACTGTGAAAAGAAAATTTCTGATTTTCTCAATATCATCGAAGACTTTAAACTCTGAACTACCTATTATATATTATATATTTATATATAAGTATATGTACAAATATATATTTAATTCTCACTGAAATTTCTGACAGTTAATCCTTCACATAGTTCTTATGTTTCTCTTGCATAGATAGTACTGAAAATGGTAGATATTTGCTAACTAAAAAAAATCATCTTCAAGAAACATTCATTTAAGTGACCACAGGTGATAAAGTGAATGCTATTATGTATCAGAAATTGTCAGACTTTCAACATTAAATAGGCCCATGTTATACAAAGTGTAACTTGTCAAATCATTTCTAATATATCCTCATTCTCTTAAATTGTTTAAAATACCTGTCTTTGGGGACATTATTTTGTTTTCTACATCTCTTAGTTGCAAATACAATATACCCTGATTAACTTTAAGAAAAAATCCCCTTTAAAACACAATTAGTTGGCTGGAGTGATAGTACAGTGAGTAGGGCGTTTACCTTGCACGCGGCCAACCCATGTTCGATTCCCAGCATCCCATATGGTCCCTTGAGCACCGCCAGGAGTAATTCCTGAGTACAGAGCCAGGAGTAACCCATGTGCATTGCCAGGCATGACCCAAAAAGAAAAAAAAATTAAATAAATAAAAATAAAATAAAATACAATTAGTGATTCATACAGTAATGAAGACTGCCATTAACAGTGTTTAAAAGACATGAAAAGCTAAGTTTCCATGAGCAATACCCAGAGCTGTACCTTAGATCTGGCTTGAAGAAACACTGCCACAGCAGCTGTCAGCAATAAATGGCAGGCGCTTGACTTTATTTCAATTGTTAGTGCCACTAGTAACTTTTCAACTTCCGAATCTCAGCATAAAGCTACTAAAAAATCGTCAGTACTCCTACCAGCAAAATGTTCATATTTTGCTGCCATCATCAACAGCAGAGTGTTAAGAAAGACCTTCATGAAGAGCCAGATCCTTATGTTACCTACTTGAATCAGTATTTTAATTAGAGTCTGTTTGATGAATCTCAAGCCATATGTCTTAAGCTTAGTAAAAAGAAAACTAGGAATTTTTTTTGAGCCGTGAGTTCTCTGTTGGCCAAATAAGATTAGAGACTTAGAAAGATATGAAGTGTCATTCAAATAAAGATACATTCCAGTAAATTCGTTCAAAATTCAATGAAAAATTCTACATAAAAATGTAAGCAAGCAGCAAGCCAACTGCAATATTTCTCGGACATGTTTTTCAAAAAAAAATCCCTATTTTTTAATAGAGATGCTATAGTGTATAATAGTATTGAAATCATTGTCTTACAATCACAGTACTGTTACACCATCCTTTTAGCCATGTGGCATTATTCCTTAGCTGTTGTCCCATAGTTCATTCTCTACTCCCTCTCCACATTATCCTCCTCAGTTCTCAGTTCACTGATCATATTTTGGGATATGTTTTTTCACTTTGAAATGTCTATTTCCTTTGTTTCTTTATATTTTGTATATAAGCAGGATGTTCCTTTATTTGTTTTGTTCTCCTTTCTTGCTTTCCCTAGCGCCATGCCCTCCAATTCAATCCAAGTTGCTATGAACTGCAAAAAGTTCATCTCATAGCTTCGTACTCTGTTGTGTAGATATACACCAGATCTTCTTTCTCCACTCATCTGTAGTTGAGCATTTGTGTTGTTTCCAGATCTTATTTTTTATTTATTTTTTATTTTTGCTTTTTGGGTCATACCCGGCAATGCACAGGGGTTACTTTTGGTGGTGCTCAGAGGACCATATGGGATGCTGGGAATCAAACCCGGGTCGGCTGTGTGCAAGGCAAACACCCTACCCGCTGTGCTATAGCTCCCGCCCCTCCAGATCTTACCTTCTGTAAATAAAGCTATGATAAATCTTGGTTTGCATATGACCTTTGGCATTGTTTTTGTGTTCCTGGGATAGCTGGTCTGGAGTGGCATCTCAGGGTCAATAGAAGATAGGTTCTTAACTCTGTAAGAAATCTCCAACCCATTTTGCAAAGAGACTAAACCAGGCAACAGTCTCACCAGCAGTGAATAAGACATCCTTTTTCACAAGTGCTGTTCCCAGACTTTTTTTGAAATAGACCATTGCTGGTATGAGGTGATATCTCAGCTTTGATGGCAATTCACTTATAGTCAGTGATGATGAGCATATTGCATATGCCTGTTGTTCATCTGCATGTCTTTTCGTTTTACTTTTTAAGAAAATGTCCATGTATCTTTTCTCCCATTTTTATTTTTTGTTGCTCTTGTGCTTTGTGAGTATTATAGATATAGTTAGATATAGATACATAATGTGTGACTATTTTCTCAAAATCAGTGGAGAATGGTTTGCCTTGTTTCTTTTGCAGTAAAGACATTTTTAAGATTGACACAATCCCATTTGTTTCTTTCTTTCTTATTGTCTTCCTTAATGGGGTGATACAGAAGATTCCTTAGGTCAATGTCTAGAGAGTCTTTCACATGTTTCCCTTAACGATTTTCAGAGACAGGTTTGATATCAAGGTTATTAATCCAATTTTTAACCTTTGTGGATATTGTGAGATACCCCATTTCACAATTTAATACTTTCATGTGTAGCTCTCCAGTTTGCACTGTTTGTTGACAAGATCTCCTTGTTGTTTTATTGAATCTAACTCACTTATCCTAAATTAATTGTCCATACATTGGAAAATGTACCTTTGGAATCTCAATTATATTCCACTCAGACTCTTGAATTCTATCTCTTCACTAGTTTTGCTTTTCTTCTTTTCCTTCTTTTATTTCTTACTTTTCTCATATGTCTTTCTCCCTTCATTTGTTTTTGCTTCCCTTTGTTCTGTAAAGGTTTTTTTAATTGTTATTCAAATCCAAAGTTTATTTTATATAATGCTACAACTCATGTTACATTTATTTGTGCCATAAAAAATTGTGTTCAGGGGGCTGGAGAGATAGCACAGCAGATAGGGCATTTGCCTTGCATGCAACCAACCGGGATTCAATTCCCAGAATCCCATATGGTCCCCTGAGCATCACCAGGAGTAACTCCTGAGTCCAGATCCAGGAGTAACCCCTGTGCATTGCCAGGTGTGACCCAAAAAGCAAAAAAAAAAATTATGTTCAGGTTTAAATATTAGCAATACTTTATCCCCAATTTATTTGCATTAAAGACTCCCCAATTTATTTAACTTTACATTTCTATATAAAATACTGTCATTAAATTTTAAATATGAATAAATTTCTTCAACTTAATGGTATATATATACATACATATGTATATGTACATATATGTATATATGTAATCGATATAGTATTATGACAATGGTTAAAGGTAGTAGACAGATGAAAGAGTATATATACTATTATATATATACTATACATAGTAATAATAGTATATATATACTCTTTCATCTGTCTACTACCTTATATTATAATAATATTATTAATATTATATTATATCGTTTCACTCAGTAACTTTTGTTTACGTAAGGCTTAACTGCTTGAAACTTACTCATTCAGAATAATATACATATCAAATTCACCAGTAATAAGACTGAGATTTTGACAACCTAAGGACTAGATATTCAACGGTAATTCTAAAGCCTTACTATAGTGCCTTTTACTTGGTCACTTGTCACTTGTAACTTGTCATCCTGTTGTTAATTGATTTGCTCAAGCAGGCACCAGTAACATATCCATTCATCCCTGTCTCATGATAGTGTAGCTCAATGGCATATTATGGACTCTTTCGAGTCAGGGGAACGAGACCCATTGTTGTTATTATTTTTGGGATATCGAATATGTCACGGATAGCTTGCCAGGCTCTGCCATACAGGCGGAATACTCTTGGTAGCTTGCTGGGCTCTCTGAGAGGGATGGGGGCTTTTGTTCACTTGGTATACACATATTTTTATTTTCTTAAACAATGAAAGAAAAAGGAAAATAGTGAATTAGAAAGATACATTTTCAGTACATTTTCCCATTTTCTTGGATATTGTATTATAGAATTTATTG